GTAGTAGTAAGAGCAAGAGTAAGAGTAAGAGTGAGAGTATGAGGAAGAGTAAGAGTAAGAGCAAGACTAAGAGCAAGAGTAAGAGCAAGAGTAAGAATAAGCATAAGCGTGGGAGTAAGAGTACGGGTAAGGGTTTTTAAGGGTGAGGGCAAGGGCAAGAGTAGGAGTAAGAGTAAAAGTAGCAAGTAGCAGTAGCAGTAGCAAAGAGCATCAGCAGTAGTAGCAGCAGTAGACGTAGCAGTAGGCAGCAGGAATCAGCAGTATCACTGAGACCAGTTCACGGGTTTGAAAATTCACGTGCTCCTATGCCCTAGGCATTGCATGCCTGATGCTCCTAATCCCTTCAGTCCCAAAATGCAACCGATCAGATAAATTCTCACATAATGGTTTTACATATTGATTTATCAGCTTTGCATTTTAAAGTTGGTGCTGGTGTAGTAATGCTATTAATGCAACTCAATTTCTTAGTGCTTAGAGTCATTCAGATGAAGTGCAGGTTCAAAGCCATCGATCTTGATTCCCGAGACACTGGCCTCACCCCACTTGATGGCTGCTTAAGGGTTGCGTATACCGGTGATATCCGGTAATTGTCTATGTGTGGTGCGCTCGAGACACCGTGCGGCAATCTTAGCCAGCGGCGGGCGTCTGTGTGCGTGTGTGTGTCCTGCCCATGACACTTCCGGAAGAATGAACAGTACTCTTTATTTCTTCACCGCCCGAAGCAACTCCTTACCTGCGCCTCAAGCCGTCGTACCTGATCCTCTTCTGACACCATATCGTACCTTTATCAAACCCTATAGAACCCTCTAAAGGATCCGCAACTGTTGCATGTTACATGCCCTCATCCCCACCCATCAGTTACAGCCAGATGAGCTCTGTCCCCGGCCTGCTCAGTGAGGTAAGCATCGAAAGCGGCGGATGTCGCCACGTGGCTCAGTGCAACGGACTTCCAGTCGACGACCGCCTCGTTGAGCACATTTCCTGCCAGATGCCTTGAAGCTGCACAGACAGGCGTACCTACCTACCCACACCTACCTACCCACCCACCTACCCACCTACACAATTACGCGGCCTGAGGTTCTCCTGAGCTCACAAACTGGAATCAAGTTGCTTGAATGACTCACAACCCTGTGGAAAGTGTTGTTGCAGGCTCGTGAGCTACGGGCTTCTACACAAGGATCCTGGCAGGCTCTGGGGTTTGCGCTGTGTCTTGGCACCCGGAACTCTGTGTATGGATGCGCAGCAGTGCTTTGAAACTTTCGACAAGCTGCTCCTTGTAGAACTGCCCATAGGAAACACCTTTCCTCAGTGACACTGCAAAAGCGAGATAAGTTCGCTCTCTGATATCGCTACCAGATTCCTCTACAGCCATCTTGGGTCGTCATGGCACTAAACTAACTCGCTTCCTGGCCACGGCATGTTTCTCAAGCTTCTCAGGGATGGGACAGGTCCACAGAAACGAGCACATTGAACTCAAGGCGTTCGTCATCCATGAGAGATGGAACCAAGTCTTTCGAGCCCACCACTGCATGCTGCATGGTAAATGATGCCAGGATACTCAAGGCCTGAAGGTCTTTCAATTCTGTGCCCTTGTCTTCATGCTGCTGCAGGGAATGGCAAGCGAGGCGCGTTATTCTGTTGCGAAAGCCCAACACTCCCTCGCCAGGCCTCCCTCACATCCTTGTGCTTCAAATCAGAGGCCAGGGCATGGGCACATCGGTGGGTGGAGCTCCACAACCCCCTCGCAACCACAATCTGACGCATGACGAGAAACAGCACCTCCCGTATATCATGCGAGCTTATGCACAGCGCAGATTTGAGATCGGGTATCCTGCGCATCCTCCAGTCCCACACAAACGATCTTCGAAGCCGTCTGGCCACACACACCTTCTAGGCCCACACAGTGTGCACCAGCACCTAGCTGGCGCGGAGGCTCCAAGCACAAGCACAAGGCGACGTTCGATCAACAACCACGTTGCAACTGGAGTGCCTGCCCTCAGAAGCGACACACTGAGGCTGAGTTCGACAGTGAAACCTGACCCGCGAGCCGAAAGGCCCCAGAGCACAAAAAGCCACACAGATCTCGGAACTGCCCCAATGGTGCACATGTCGCATTCCCGGGCGCCATCCAGATCGGACCGCTTCCTAAAGCCTCAGGTAGGGGCCTTAATACTTGGGGCAAATTATGGCGCAAACACGGTATGTGGCATAGCTTTAGCGGCCATGAGGGCATACCAGTCTTGGTAAAGACATCTCACCTAAGCCTTTACCACTAACCCTAAGACTAGACCCCTTCGCCTACTTCCTCCAAGCCCCTACCCCGGCCTTAAAGTCCCCCAAACCCTACACGATACCAAAGTTCCCTCAATCCCTTGAATCGCCTAAACAAACTACCGAAAACGCACAAAGCGTCTCTCCAAAAATGATGGTCCCTTAAGGTCCCTTATCGTATTCCTAACGCATACCCGATTACAACCCATCCCTAACCTTTTCCTAACCCTAACCCATAATCCCTATAATCTTAGGCTTTGCAGCGGAGACCGAACTAAATTATGTGGAGCCTTGCCTGCCTTGTGCGAGTGTGAGAGTCGGAACCTTCATCCCCTAAACAAACCCTAAACCCTCAACCCCAAAACCCTAAACCCTAAACCCCTAAACCCTAAACACTAGAACGACACAAAAAAGCGGGGCAAAGCGTCTCTCCGAAAGTGTGGCTTCGGCTGACTTCCGGGCGCAGGCAATGACGACCTTTGCCTCGGATAAGAAGCACAGGGTTTTCTCCTAAACCCTTTGGGTTTAGGGTTTAGGGGTTTAGGGTTTAGGGTTTTAGGGTTTTAGGGTTTAAGGGTTTTTTTTCCCTCTCGCATGGCTGAGGATCTATGCCCACAGTTTAGGTTTTTAGGGTTTCGGGTTTAGGGGCTTAGGGTTTTTTTTTTGAGGGTTCTTTTCCGTCTGCACGCGGGTGCTTAGGGTTTAGGGTTTAGGGTTGGGGACTAGCCAGATCCTTGCATCACGGCCTTCCCCAAACCCTAAATCCTAACCCCTTGCCGAAGGCTCCTTGCACTTAGTTATCAGACTTGGCAGGACTCCTGCCAGCAATCCCTACGGAAGCTACTTGGGCTGGATACTTTTGAGTTTCGATTCTCGCACAAGGCACTTTAGGCTTTAGGGTTTACGCTCTCACAGCTCCAACATGCCAGGCGAGGTCTGCCAAGAGCAGTGGGCCTGAAACTAGTTAGGCTTCCCCACACTCGCAGTATTCAAACACAACAACATTCAAACAAAACGCGAGCACCAATCACGCAATGCAAGGGGAGACTGAAAACAGCGTCGTATCGAGAGCCACGACTGGGGAGCAAAGGTGTCATTGCTTCTTCATGGTTATGTCAAATGCTGGACGAGTAGGGTTCAGAGGGTTAGGATTTCGATTGGCTCTAGTAAGGGGTTTTGTAAGGTTTATAAGGATTTATGAGGGAATAGAGTTTTTCGGCTCTCGGTTCGCCGACCCCCCCCCATGGTATTCCCCCAACCCCCGGCACACCCAGGTCCAAATATGCCGAATCCCTGTGACTGCGCACACTTCTCCCACATGGCGGCTCCAAAACCATCAACTGTCACGAGGATCTCCTCCCAAACACACCCAATCCTTGTGACAGCGGACGCTTTCCACACAGGGCTCTGCCATGAGATTGCAACTGTCACCAGGGTCGCGTGCAGTTGACTCAAGAAAGGAACATGATGACCACGATGATGGTGATGATGATGAGGATGACGATGATGATGATGATGATGACGATTTCGAAACACCCAGGGGGCCAAACCGCGAACCACACCACACCGCA